ATAAATAAAGAAAATCTTAAAAAAAAAAAAAAAAAGAAATGAGAGTAAACAGAATTTGGGAGACACCATCCCCATCTTCATCTCCTTGTGACCAGAGCACCCTACCCTTTGGAAAGATGCTGGGGCAGGCAGTGGCATGCCCTCCGCTGGGGGAGCAGATACCTGAATACACACACCTGGCCCGGGAGCCATGTTTCTCCTCTCTTAATGCTTCCTGCTGTGCTTCAAAATGTAGCTGCTTCTTCAGGTTTTCTCAGACACCTTTTCAGTCACCTCCATTATCGCATACAGGATGAGTCCAGTTTCCAAGGGACTCTTAAGCAAGCATTTGGAGCTGTAAGTGCACGCACGCAGAGGTTGGTACATAATGTGGTGCTTTGTGTATCTTTACAACTATCTTAATGACAGTGTGTTAAATGTTTTGTAAATTCCTCTGTGCTCCTTGCTGAAGATGTGTGTTGTCTTTGTAGTTAAAGGGTTTCTTTATAAACCTCTGCTACGAAATGATGGCCACTTGAAAAAGAGAGAGAAAGAGAATAACAAACATAGTTTCAGCAAAATCTCACCCCTCCATCGCCCTGGACTTTTCAATAGCAAGAACTGAGCTTGCTGGGCTGAAAATTGTTTTAATGTACCTTCATAAAAGGGTCTTTGACTTGGTAAGTGTGTATGATGCATACTTTTCATGTTACACCATGAGTGCCACTTAGCAACTCCTGGAGACAGCAGCCGTTCAGCATGGGGCGGGGTGCCCCCTGACAGGCTTCTAAAAGGCCTGGATGCCAATGAACATTCCAGCACTATCCACAGAAAGGAGACTGGGGCAGCGCTCTTCCCCGCAAGGGGTAAGGAAACTGTCCCTCATGCCCACCCGCTTGCCTGCCCTGTTTTGTGGGAGAATTGCAAGTAAAGACTGGAGAGCTTTTTGAGGAGGTTGGGTGTTTTCATTCCTCCACAGTTTCCTTTCTTCGATGTACTTTGTTGAAGCAAGTTGCGCAAAGTGGCTGCAACGTGTATTGGCTCTCCCTTTGAAAGCTCTCTGCCTGAGTTTATTTGTAAATTTTGCATCTGTCCTGCTCTGTGTTTTAGGACAGGCTAAAAGGTTTCTCCTTCCTCTAGGTTGGGTCAATATGGGAAGTATAAAAAAGAGTCTCTTTCTCTTAAAATTATTCTAGTAAATAACCGAGATTGGGCAGGGGCTAATATTGGTGTAAACAGGCCCTTGGAAATATAAAACCTTCACACTTAACCAGTTTTCCCAAAATATGTGTTTAATTATGTGGTGGTGGTGGTGTGTGTGTGTGTGCATGAGATGACAAAGGTCACCAACAGGCTATTCGGGGTGCAAGGCTGTGGGAACAGCAAAGTAATTTTCAGTGGACTGGGATCCCAGGGAGTTGGGTGCTAGTCATTGTTCGGAGCTTTGAGGCCTCAGACAGGTCTCAGCCTCCCCTCCCAGGGCTTGTTTCCCTCGGTGAAAAATAAGAGGATGAAATGAGACAGTACTTGTTGCAGGATACATACTGAGCGCCATATAAGCACTTTGCGGGGAGGGAGGGGTGCTCACAGCAACCCACTGAAGTGGGTAGTAATATATCCCCATTCTACGGATGAGAACGCTGAGGCTCAGAGAGGTTAAATACTCATCCCAGATCACACAGCTGGTAAGAAGTAGAACTGGAATTTAATCTATTTCAGCTTGAGTCCCACATCCACTCTTGACCACGCTGTTTTCTCCCATCAGGACCTGAAATCACATCCTGTACACTGTGTGATTCTGTGTGTGTGCTTGGGGGCAGGAGTCACTAATTCTTGACTGTTGCATACAGACCTGAGAGAATGTTTAAAAAGTAAATGAATCCAGAAAGCTGGATTTTTTTACTCCAGAGCAAATGCAATCAATCCCTTCGGCCAGTGCTTTGCAAGAGGGATGGTGGCGGGGGGGTGGGGGAGAGTTATCAAATGGAAAGTTTCTCAACCCAAGGCTTCCCCGAGGAGTAGCTCTCCTCTGCTCTACAGTTCAGGGCTTGCCTGTGCTTTTTCGGGAGTGGAAAAATACATAAGTTACAAGGAATTTAACAGACAGGCGGGCGCACAGAGGAAT